GGAGACGGGGGGAGCCAGGAAGCACTTTATAAAGAGAGTCAAACTATTACAAACTCATACAAGGAGATAAAACAGACGTTTTACATGGTGAAATGTGACTGATGAAAACTTAGGAGCTTAATCCCACACCAGTTTGACCATGAATAATGTCGGGTGACCAGTCTGACTTTTTTTTTTTTTGTCACATTGGACTCCACAGAGAAGAAATCCCGTGCATACTGCCTGCTTAAATGTTCACTACGTCAGAACTTATTCGGCAAATGTGTTTCCATCTCTGCTTTTGTGCATTAACTCTTACAGGATGGAGGAAGTTGGTCTTGGCAGAGGTTTGCACTCTCCCAGTGCTTCTAGTTTTTATTGTTACTATCTTTAATTCTATTATTATTGCTGCAGTTGATAATGTCCCATAGCAATATACTGTTTCTGTGGGTTGATGTATGTATCTGCTGCTGCTACTACACCTGAATTTCCCCCACGTGAGACAAGAAAGGCTTTTTCTATTCTATTCTATTCTATTCTATTCTATTCTATTCTATTCCTTTGAAGAATGCTGGGCCTTTACTTTACAGTTTTAAGTTTGAGCTTCAAACATTAACTCAAAACTTAAAACACCTGAAATTACCGGCTGATTGACAAATCACAGCATAACAACTGTAACTGTATTCATCTGCTCTGCCTCACAAACTTCCTGCACACAACAAAAACAAAGCAGACACACAGGACACAAACTCTGAACCGAAGATTGTGAAAAAGATAAAACAATATTAATAAATGTTTTAATTCCCCAAAGTTTCACAGCTGGTGCCATCAAATTCTAAAATCAAACATTTATATGGAGCCTCAATCACACACATGCACAGACATTTATACATAAGTTTATGCATACAAAAAAGAATATTTGCATCAGCATATGCTAATGAATATTTATGACTGTTTCTGAAACATGGTGACCTAAAGAGAGTGTGTAGTGTGCAGGTAGAGCAGCTGCTGAAAACTGATTCTTGGAAAAACAATCAAAACAAAAAGTGAAACTGAAAAGCTTATCTAAACAGACCTGTTTAGACCTGTTAGAGAATTACATTTTCTCTTTCTTCAGGTCTCTTTATTTTCTCATTTTCAATTTTTCAATTACACTTTCTACCAAGCTGCACTAATGTGATCCACGAGTCAGCGATGCCTCAGAAAATGATTATGCAGACCAGCAGCAAATGAGAGCAGACAGTCTGACACTCCAGCAGCACACTGTGGTGAACATCAACTTGTCTCTATTAAAACATGACAGACAACTACTTTTCATCTGACTGAAATTGCAGCAGCTGTCAGAAATGACAGGATGAAGGTTTTCTTTAAGATTACGGGGAACGAGACAAAACTCTCCTGCTAGCTCCATGATGAGCGGCGTGATGGGCTCGTTCAGAGAGGTCCGACTTAATTACACGAAGAAGCCTTCTCGTCTTTGATGTGGTGTCGTGACTCGGCTGCAGAGGCATGACCAGTCAAATCTGCATTCATTAAACACGCTGCAGCTGACTGCTCTGCCAGCAACAAAAGAGCTGATGAGGAGAACCTGATCATGGATCAATGCTCAGAAATCTCTGTTGTGATCCAGGAACAGCACCAAGACTCTGGACCAAGCCATGACCGGTTTAATTCAAGTTACACGACTGATCAGTCTGATGCCCCTGCAATGACATGAGAGAGAGAGAGTCAAGGGCGAAACCAAGAATACCTCCTGCTTTCTCAGCCTGAAGGGTCCCTCCTTGCCCTGTGTGGACAGAAAGCTTTGCTTTGGAGACTAAAGGATGGTTAGAGTTGAAGAACCGGTCGCGGTATGACCACTTTGACTTAAAATGTGACAATAATGTAGCTGAACCTGAGCTGAGAGAAAACTTTTATAGCAACATTCCTTCAGATCCTTAAGACTGCAATGGTTATTTCATTTTTTATTTAAAAGGACAAGGCACATTAATCAATATTCTGTGAATATAAATGCCTCAGAATTAGCACAGCTAAATTTCATCCATTGTCCTGAGCAGATAAAGAAGTAACAGTTTATAAAACAAAACAACACTGTCCAACAAACAACTGACTACAGACACAGTAAAATTATTTTACAAATGAATGCATGACTGATTTTCTTTCAGCTAAACTTTAAGATTTTTTTTAATGGAATAACTTTCACAGTCTCTGATAATTGCTGGTTCATTCCATAAATGTTCCTGTGATTTTCTAAATTTTTTAGCCACTTCGGTAGAAAACATAACATAATGTATATTAGTTTCTTCATCATCAGTGATTTTTTTGAATACTATAGAAAAGAAGAAGAAAAAGGGAGAAATATAATGGAAAAGATTGAAAGAAAGATTAGAAAATATGTGAAATGTACACCAAGGAAACACAAGACACAAACACACCCAACATCTGACTACACACCTACAAAAACAGAGAAAACCCAAACACAGCAACAAAATATATGACACATACATACATATAGATATGTGTGTATTTAAATGTACACATTCAGTGACAGTCAGAAACCCCAGGATTTGAATACCTGTTTGTGTGCGGTTGTGAGCATATATATATATATATAATCTTCTCCAGTGGAATGTTTTTTTGTCTGTATCTTCGTTTATTAATTGGCCCTACAGTGCAAGAGTTATGTGTGTATTTACATTACGTGCGCAATAAAAAAACAGAAACCCCAGGATTTGAATACCTGTTTGTAGCCAATTCTGAGCATATATATATATATATATGTTTTGTTTTGTTTTGCCAAGAGATAACTGTGCTAAACTGAACACTTCTTGCTGATATTTTCTAGTCTGCTCACAGTAAACTAATCCTGTATCTGGGTATCCAAGTCTTGAAGGRCTCACCGTGTCTCCTATTTTGAGGCCGGAGCAGGACTTGAGTCCAGGGATGACCTCTCCGTTCAGGCAGGTGGCGTTAAAGGACAAAGATAGCTCCTCTGGAACACCGAGAAGCTCCAGCTCCACCTTAGAACGAATTTTCTAAAAGTACAAACGGCACAACAAYACCTTGATTATAAACCATCATTTGTACAACAGGTTGTTTTTCTGTTCATGACTCCTGAAAATATATTCCCGATTAATCTGAGTCCAGATATATTACTTTGTTTTACTAACTTTGGTTACGTACACGTTGGGATCACATAACTTTACTTGTACACCTTTTAAACACATTGTAAACAAAAACGTTTAGAATCCGATTTTATGAAATTCACCTGTATTCTGCAGACCRAAATTCAAAACCAAAGATTTGTGACATGTGCAAAAACAACCTGTTTTGCAAAAAAAAACTTCTGTTTACTAGCAAATTTTGGGCATTAGTACACAAAACCGTGGGGTTTTACTGGGAAATAGTTTTTGTATTGTACTTTAGAAAAATATTTATTTAACTGCTGTTTKAAAAGTGTTAAACTCTTCTTTGATTGAAATTGATTTTTGTTTGATCAAATAATACAGATACTAAAATAGCTCCATACAAAAATGCATTTTCAAGAAAACGTTTTTCTCGTTGTGAGTGCTGAGTGTTGAATAACTTTGTTTAAAACGACTTAAACACAACACAATCACATACTGCCAGTGTGTAATTATTGTAATGCAGGCTACATACGGTGAAACATTTAGAAAAAAAAAGAAAGATCTGGATAACTCAAGAAAACCTCCCAAAAAAGCAGTGAGGTGGTTACTAGCCAAGCAGCAGCCAAACCAGAGCAGATTTGAATGACAATGTTTTGGACGGAACTGATGAAATCTCAAGATACTTTAATTTTATGAAGAAAATATTTGTAAATTAAATATTTTGAATTGTATAAAGGTTACAGAAAACCACAAGTCATCGCACTTATCTCCTGAAGAGCTGAACATGTTGATACATGAATGTAAAAAGGAGTCAGTTTGCCAAAAAAAAAAA